CCCTAGCTGCAATTTGTAGCCGTGATAATTCTTATCCACGGCTGCAATTGATACACTGTTCAAATCTGAGCAAGTAAAATTAGGTCCAATTGCAAAACTTTCAACACATATCATCACAGTTTGCATGGAAATAAGTAATTATGTTACAATTAGTGAAGAGTGGAATACTGAAATCATAATCTTATCTTACCGAACAGTTTTTCTGTATTTTCGAGTGGCAATGACACATGTGATTCTGGTTCGGCGGCCATTTGAAACTGAACAGAAATTTCGCATAACATACAGTTGGGTTTAATCAAATCATATAGGTAAGGTTTCACTTTTCTCTCAATGGGAATTTGTTTATTATATGTTAAGGTGTGTACAGTACACTTTGGGGTCAGTGAAACTGGAAATTAAGGGAGTTATAGGCCAGTAACATTTTTGTAGTCAAATGACTATAAAACTTGCTCAAAGGAAGGCCTTAGGACGATCCACTACCGTGGCTGGAGCAAGACGGAACCATTTCTATCTCTCTCCTTACTACTGACCACCGTTATTCGCTTCTTTGTGCGTACATGAGACAATGGTAAGATCCACTTTCTGGCCTCGTGAGTTTACTCCGGTTTACCAGTTTCCTCGACCATAAAGTTAAGTTTGCATTATATTTATTAATAAACGTAATCCCTGAATAACTGATTTAAATAAATTACATACCTTTGAAGTCACTCTATCTTACTGGTTCAGAAAGAGATTCAAGCCTTGGTAGACCAATGACCTCGGGCTTATTATCATCACAGATGGTTATGGGATTTGCTATTTCGGTGACCATGTCGTAATATTACATAAATTGTATAGATTTAAGATTAGATTGAAAGCTTACCTTATATGAATGGTTGTCCAAACAGTACTATATGCCCCTAGAGGCAATTCTCGCTGTCTAACATTACACTTTGCTACATGGATAACTTATGTTGTGTGTCGAAAATCATGTAGCCGCCCCCCCCCCCACCGAAGTGAAATGAAATAGGGTTTATAGTTCCACCCAAACGACTAGACGCTGTTTTTTGCCAGAGAGAAACGTGGTTTAACGTCCACTCGACACACACTAAGTCATTTCGGGTCTAACATATATGGTTCAGTTTTTTATTTAAATAATTCGCTTAGGTGGAAACCGGAGAACCAGGAGAAAACAAACGTTGTTGGATAGGCGACCCTACTCCTTGTCACGTAAAACCGGCGAATCGAATTCACGCCAGTTGACTCACACACACACACCCCAGACCACTGACGATGGGGAACTGCCCTGGAAAATCACAGGAACTGTTTCGTTCAACTAGGAGCCAGTGCCTAACCCACTGAGCCACCGTGTTTAAGGAATTCGAGGTATTTTGTAAGTAACAAGTTTGCAATGTACACATCGATTTGACAAGCGGTCGTTTTGGGGATAAGCCGTCACATATTACTATATACAATGCGATATAACCCATAACGTTATATGTCGGAAAAACGGATATTTGGGGAATGGTTGGAGGGGAAAATATTGGATATATGGCAGACCTAGTTATTCAGTTCTCCGCAGTGTTAGTTGTTGAATGATGTGTGCCACGGCTACATACTAATGGTTGATAGATTTCGTTAATATTACTTGGGCAGACCGCATCGAATTACTTGACGTGGGTAGATCTTATCCATTACGTATTATTGAGATTCGGCTACTTACTGCGGACAAATCTTATAAATAATTACCGTTACATATCATACCTGGATTACCTAATGGAGTGAGAGGGAGTGAGAGAGAAATGGGGTTTAACGCCCACTCGACACAAACTAGGTCATTTCTGGACTAACGTATATATGTTTCAATTTTGTTTTATTTCTATAATTCGCTTGCGCGTAGGGGGCTTTAGCAGTGGGAGGAAACCGGAGAACCTGGAGAAAACCCACGAGGCTGGACAGGCGATCCTACTCCTTGTCACGTACAACCGGAGATTCGAAACCACGCCAGCTGACTCAATGACAAACCTTATGTTAAAGCACGCACGTGCTAACCATTCGCCCGGGTTACCTAATGGAGACAAAACTAAATAGGAAGCAACATAGTATATTTTCCCTATAACATTTTCATCTAATTAATGAATAAATAAGGCCAAGACCATTTAATAGTGTACTATTGTTTATCTCTATTACAATGTACCAAAGTACCCAAATGGAAATTATGTAGACCTACATTTTCATATCAACACGTCTGACCTTGAACAATAAAGGTCATAGATAATCATGTATACCATGTATGCTGGGGAGTTTCCCCACATGAATTGTATAAAGATTATGATTTCCCGTTTAGGTAACACTCACTGATAAATTTCATTTACTGTATTGCATAATTATTGATCACACCACACTGTTCTTTTGGACGTCGTAGTCACGGCCGAGGAAGTTCATCGGGATTGGTTCCCCCTTGTCAGTGGTGCTGAACGGGGCCTTAACAAGGACAGCTGACTAATCGTTCGGATGGGGCGAAAAACTGAAGTCACGTGTACACATTGGCGTGCACGTAAAATATTCCCTGGCAGTTGGAGAGAGAAATGGGGTTTAACGTCCACTCGACACAAACTAGATCATTTCGGGACTAACATATGGTTTAATTTTATTTCAATAATTCGTTTGCGCGTAGGGGTCTTTAGCAGTGGGAGGAAACCGGAGGACCCGGAGAAAACCCACAAGGTTGGACAGGCGACCCTACTCCTTGTCACGTACAACCGGGGATTCGAAACCACGCCAGTTGACTCAATGACAGGCCGTATGATACAGCACGCACGTGCTAACCATTCAGCCATCCACCCCACCCCACCCCACCCCTGGCAGTTGGAATTCGATATAAGAGTAGGCCGTAGCGCTGCGATCCAGGAAAAATTTCCCGGTTTTTTTTTTTACCACGAGCGCGGTTTCCATGTCACTGGTGCAGGACGGGGGGTCTGGCAAGGGCAGTGTCTATAGTCATGTGGATGGGACAAAAAACCGACGCCCGTGTAAATATTGAAGTGCAAGTAACTCTTGACAGTTGGAATTCGAATTAAGAGTAGACCAACAAATTCCCCTCATAGCACACTGTATGACGGAAACGCATCTTTTTAGCCACGTCGGTGATGAAAAGTAGGACGTTAAACCCCATTTCATTTCTGATTTCGGGGCATTTCTTCATCAATTAAAGTTCGATAAGACTTTACTTTTCTAAAACGAATAAACGAATAGGGCAGGTATATCCCCTCTCAATCAACAACAGTTGACAGTCATCGTCTCACAGATAAATCCTCTAGTCGCGCCAGTCACCAACAATCTGACGACATCTTGACACCGGTTTAATATCAGACAGTCCGATATGCAATAGATAGCGCGTATTAATTAACGCATGGACAAAACTGATTGAAAGCTGATTCAACGTGACAACATCAACGTAGTTATGATTACCAGAAATCCCCGGACTAGTGAAATTCAACTATAGGCCCTACTAGACTGTTAGACAGAGCCCGCGACAGGACCCTCCGAGTCCTAGGACAAGCAACTGAGCGAGTGGGAGGGGGCATTTTGGCGTATATCTTGGAAGTCACTTTGTTAAAACACAGAAACTGAGATCCAACACATGCTATGGCATACCAAATACATGTACCTGTTAGAATTTTTGGGTCGGGCCGATCCAATGATTTTGTGTCAATGACATACGACCCCATAAAATACTAGTCATAAATTTGGGGTCAACTATTTACTGATATAATAATAATAATCAGATGTACACGATTTTGACAGGACATTTTAAGCAAACAAACAAATGGAAAAAAAACCCACCGTGACAATCAGACGCCAAAAAATCAAAAATACTTTTTTCCATCATATAAACGATTTAGCCTATACCTAGAGCGATCGACACTGGCGCGCTCACCATCGTTTTACAGGCCCGGATACCCTGAACGAGGTCGGACCGGGGGCCTCACTGCGCGAAGGCCCGGGAAGGTGGCTTATACTTTTCAATTCACCAATTTCCCCCAAAAGGTACCCACAATTTAAAAAAAAAAAAAAAAAACATTACTCGGCATACCTCTGGGCCCCTCTAGGCGCCGGGACCCTGGACAAAGTGTCACATATTAAATGGTTTTATATAAATTACACTAATATATGCTTCTGCACCCATTTTCGTAATTTTAAGCTTCCAAAGAATAGAGCCATACGCTCTTTAAAGGGGGCAAGTCGCTAACTCAATATCATCCACAGTCTTCGACTTTGCAAACACGTTTTATTGGTCAATTTAAATCAACATTGATGCTGTTATCGTACCGTAAAAAGATGGGCTCTGATATCCAATATTTAAGACAATATTAAAATTGGCACACGAATCGCGTGTCAGAATGCTTTCTAGCGCCATTTTTAATGAAGCGACTCGATGAACGAGACTAACCATATGCCGACAGGAGAATACTACCGGTGTAGACTGGAATAACCAGATGCCAGAGACTGCCTTTCAATTTGGACTCTTCGCGTATTTCGACGAACATTACTGATTAGAAATTACAGTAAAAACAGAAAAGATCGAATGTAAATCAGTTTATATACATTCATATAACATTATTAAATGCATTGCGACCCATTTGTGTCCATTCTAGTTGCCAAGAATAGAGACTTAACTCCTTTAAACCTTATAACCTACATTTTGATACTGCTTATTGTTTTAATTTCCCTTCTTATTAACGTGGCTTGACTTTATTATTATCCATGACTAGAACCCAGAGAGTACACATACACATTTCAAAGTTTAAACAACAAATAATGGTAACACTATAAGCCATTATTCCGAGACAAATGCGCAAAGTGCCCGCAAGGTGTTCGACATGTTATCTGTGACAGTTTAAATGAATTAAAAATTACTATCTGTTTTGACATCATCTAAATCCGTTGTTTCGGAATGAAACGGTTATTAAAATACGAAACTGACCATCATTTTATCAATCACAATTTCCTATTGAATGGTTATCATTAACGATTATCTGTAATATCTCCACCTGCTACATGGATGTTACCATATATAAACCACCATCTTGTAACACTCCAAATACACTCTGGTTTTACCCTTTAACAGTTTAATTCACGTTCCTAAAACAGTTCGAAAATGTTGGCTGCTTCTGTTACACTTTTCCTGGTGGCGTCCGGTATGTATAAAATTTCTAATATATTATTTAGCGGAATAGGTATTATTATGCAGCCGTAAGAAAGAATGGTGTCAAATTACGACCAGTCAATTAAAATGTATCAAAACGAGTGTCCAGTCAAGCTTATAAATATTAAATACAAAAAAGCGTGCACAATCGCGACTAATTTACACCACTGCGTGTTAGCAGGAAAAGGGAAAATTTACATGAAGCGAGTCAGTCGACAGAAGGCAATTTGAGGGAAATTGTGTCCTAACAGCGGCGCTATAGCCTACGTTTCTTCGATTTCCAACGACCGGGAGATCTGTAATGTCCAAGACACTTTTCCATACCAGACCCCCGCCAACCTGTTAAATACTACGGACAACGGATGGAAAATCCCGATGAACTATTTTGGCCAAGTGGATGGAAACTAGAAACTCCATGATTAGTGAGCTAGCAGCACCATACTTACCAAGCCATGGCTGATTATTTGAACACACAAATTTGCGCTTTCCTCTTATACCATATTTATTTATAGAATGCAATAACTTGAATCTGTTGCTTATGGTTTAATTCCAGTCTACGGAGAATTTATTATTGCTGGGGGTTTCACAGATGTTCAAGTGACACAAGACATCAGAAACGCTGCTATTTTTGCTACCGACAACATCAATGCTGAGAACAAACAACTTGGTTCTAATTGGCACACACTCGCCAAAATCAACAACCCATCTCAACAGGTAATAATATACCATTATTGTCATTTCCATCTTGAATATCTGATGAACGCCGTGGGATAGAACGTTGAAATAGAACCCTGTTTTGGAAAACAGGGCGCTGGATTCCCAAATAAGAATTAAAAGATTGGGATTCTCCAATTCGGGACCTGTGACGTAAGCTAAGAATACCTTTGAAATTGGTTGACAATCAATCAAATGAGAGCGACGCAATGACGAGCTTTGCGTCATGGTTATGAGTTTTTGCGCTGCCTTGAGTTTTGTGCCCCCTCGCAAATGACAAAAGATCACGCGGTTGTCAACATTATAATCATACTCATAATGCTTAACCAGTGGCAAACATATATCGTGGGTCAGATATGCTACAAATCGACTTTAGCATGTTCCAGTCGGACTGGGAGGTACTGCCACCCCACCCCTTCCCCGTACACACATACACATATAATTATCGTTTTTTTTGTGGGGGGGGGGGGCGGCGGACGGGATCTTGTTCCTCATGCAAAATCATGGATCACCACGCCCCTGAACTAAGGGGTGTATCAATTGCAATGATTTTGACTGATCGTTAGATTTGGTTTCGACCATTAAAATACTATTATTCATGTTACTGACGTGAACTTGGTGAAGAAGACAACCGAAAATTAGACAGCTGAACTAGTGTGAACTATGGGAACTAGTGGAAGATTTTTGTTCGATCCTCAAGCGCTACTCATCCTGTTCTTGTTGTCCTTGATGTTGTTCTTGGGGCAACACTATTCGAAAAAAGTACAAGGCTCTGCTAATTCATGTAAGATCGACATGAAACTTGGCATGCTTATTCATTTGACACTTGCGCATCACAATTCCAAGATGGCTTCAAAGACGCCATAACCAGTTCCCGGCCCATAGTAGTAAGGTGGTCCTTGTTTGTAATAGCTGTGTTTTTTTTATTTTCCAGGTTGTGAATGGTATGAAGTATAGAATGGAGATTATTTTGAAGGAATCTGAATGTCGCAATCATGAAAACAATAACGGTGCCTCCCTCATGGATTGTCCTCCCATTGATGATGGCGTTGTAAGTAAACTAGTTTTGTATCTATTTCCATGGGCACTATTTGGGCTTCGGCTAATGTCAAGTTGTACGTAAACTAGCTTGTGCCTTATGATTACATTTGTATACCCATGGGCACTGTTTGGGCTTCGGCTAAAGTCAAGTTGTACGTAAACTAGCTTGTGACTTATGACTGCATGTATATTCATGGGCATGTTGTCAAACTAGTCTGGCAGATTTAGCGTACGAATTCAAAGCGAAAACTATACAATACCTTTTCTTACCTTCAACAATATTCCGAGAATCATAACCCTATGACTATTGTGCTTCATGGTTGTTATCAATACACGAATGCAGCAGATATTCAAAAATATCGCGTCAGAGGTCATACGAGCGGATTTTGACGCTATGATGTCAGACATTTGATTAACCAGTCAGCGCCGATGTGTCTTTTAGTAGGATACCCATAGTTTCGTGCATCGCACGCCAAGAACGCGCTGCAACAGACCGTTTCATTGGCTAATTCCTCACATCAACCAGAAGGGTTATATAACAACTCTTCCATAAGTATAACACGAACCCGAATGTCAATATTACCTGCAACAGGTAAATTTCAACGTTAGCAATTTCCGCCATTCTCCGTGGGTAGTCGTAAATTTGACGTCATTTTAGTCCTTCTGCTCATATTCTAGTCTATATTTCTATGTGCAGAAGGACTAAAATGACGTCACGGATTGCTTATTGACGGAAAGTTCCGACTACCGACGGAGAACGGCGGAAATTACTAATGTTGAAATTTACCTGTTGCAGGTATTATTGACGTTCGGGCTCGGGTTATACTTATGGAAAGGATATGTTGACATAATTACTTGCATTATTTAAAAAAAAATTGATGCTTTTCCGGTGACCTTTAATCAGATTGGGGTTACTGCTCACAAAAAAGCAAAACACAATTAATATTCTATACAATAATAAAATTTTCTTTTTAATTTACAGACCAAGAAATGCTTTATAGAGGTTTGGCACCAAGCCCGAAGAAATCCAGAATATATTCTAGAGAAAGATATGTGTATTGAAATTTAAAACTGAACTTCTAAAACGAGAACTATATAATATATGAAAATATTTAAACTATTTGAATAAACCTATAGACGCATTGTCATTTTTTAACAAGTAATAAATGTAATTGATTTTATTTCATATCCTAACCAAAAAACAATATAGTCACACTAAATATCGAAATTCCAAGCACGTTGTTGATCGAAAATATTTTAAAACCGATCGAAGAACTGTTTCTTTACATTGACTGTCAAATATTTTAATTTCAGTTTTCAAAGTAGGGACGAATAAATCTTTCACTGAAATGAAATGAAATGGGGTTTAACGCCCTACTGTTGTTCCGAACTGGACTAATGAAGACGGGCATACGCCATACAGTGTGCTATGAGGGAAATCTTGCCCGGACAGCGGCACTACGGCCTACTCTTATATCGAATTCCAACTGTCAAGGGATCTTTTACGTGCACACTAATGTGTACCGTCCGTCCTGCATCACTGACAAGGGGAATCACGCCCACTTAGCCACCGTGACCCACATCCTTCACTGAAAGTAGTGAAACTAGTAGAAGGATGGAGGAATCCCTGTAACAGTGCAAGTAAGCCTGGATATCAGTGATACGGCCGAGACGAGCAGATTTAGCCTTTACATAATGTCTCTTTAAAGTAACTTTTGTGACTAAGATCTTTCGAAAATCAAGTATACTAGTCATACCGAATAACTTACTCCCCTGGCCCCCAGTTAACGAAGCATTCTCAGACTTAAGTTAAGAGTTTACGCAACTTTGAATCACTGTTTATAAGAAATATCTTTGATCCAGAAACACAAAACTTTGCATATCGATTCTTAATGATGTATTTGATACATTAAAACAACAAAATGTTTATAACGGGCTATAATTTTACTTATAAAATAAGGCGAACAATTTTGAGTAAATTCTTAACTTAAATCTGAGAATGCTTTATCTTTATCCGACATAAAATATATATGTTGTCAAAATCAGTAGGGTGGTATCTAACGACGAGCCATTTCAAGCGAAGTCCATTCTACAATCTAAGAGATCAAGTTATTTAATTATCAGTAAAAAGATTTTGCCTCCACATATTATTTTTACTATTGACAGGTTTCAAGAACGGGACAGGTTATACTTATCCCCGCCATTTTAATGGAGTACCCGATATAACTTGCTACTGTATAACAAGTATTCGTATCTGATAGCTTTGAATTTCTATTGAGTACTAAATAGTATTTTTCTTTTTTTTTTACACCCCCTCCCCCAACATTGTAAATGGGTATGTCCCAGCGTTACTATCGCATTAACCAATAACGACTTTATATTATGACGTCACAATAGCGCGCAAATACTTATTTAGTTGACGTTCAATTTTTGAAGATATAAAAAGCTAACCACAACTATGGGAGGCAAATTTTCAACATGTTTTGGAAAGAGACGCAACAGGATAGCGCCAGATACTGTTATTCATCGAGTTACCAGTCGAGATTCGCCCATAGACATCGTGTCCGCTACCAGAGGTGATACAGAAACAGTAGTTCCATCGGCAACACCAGTGCTCACACAGGTAGAAACTAAGTTTCCAGTGGAAGTGAATTGCACCGAGGAAGAGGATGAAGATTGTATTGATGTCAAGAAAGTGACAAGAAGTCACCTGGACTTGTTGGCTATGTTTGAAATTCCTGAAACTTTGCATCCCGAAACAAAACAACATTACAATATGTTACAATAATTAAAGACGTGCAAACCTTTACATTAATACTATAGATATTTATTAATAAACATCTTTCTTGTAATGGTACTGTATATCTTGCGACACCCTCATTTCACCATTGGAAGAGGTTCAACATCCACTCAACCCAGGTTATTTCGAGACTGCAATATGCCACAGTTGGGCTAAATTTTGTGCTAACGAGAGTAAACATGACAGACCAAATTTTAAGAAGAGTGTCAGTATTTGTCAGGGCAAAATTTCCCTCATAGCACAATGCATGGCGTATGCCCGTCTTCATTAGCCTAGTCGGGTCAGAACAGTAGGACGTTAAACCCAATTTCATTTCATTTCCTATTTGAGATTCATCTTTGACAATATTGTAGTCTACAAGTTAATCCTACCTAAAACGCCGCGTCGGGGCTTGAAACAAATAATTAAAGTACAGAGTAAACGTATTACGGGTCATATATACTGAGCGCCATGGAAAACGCATCACTTAGTTTTTCGTATAACAAAATGATCCTGTAAACATATCTTATTTATTTTGCTTCTTATTGTGAACAATATTCAAATGGGAACACATCAATAACAACACATTTGTACACGTATGGATGTTTAATCTGTAATCAACGGTACAAAGTCAGAGGGGTCAAAACCAAAAGTACGACACAGATGTCAGTAGCGCGTGTGTCCTCCACGGGCTCTTACGCACGCTGTGCAGCGACGTCGCATGGAATTTACCAATGTTTGAAAGAAGGCCTGGGGCAAATTGTTCCATTCTTGGACAAGAGCAGCTTCTAAAGCAGCAATGGTTCTATCGGTGCCATGTCCGGAGACATGGCTGGCCAGTCCAAGACATTGATGTTGTTAGCAGCCAGGTAGTTCATACTAAAACGGGCGGTATGCGGACGTGCATTATCCTGTTGGAAGTGCTGAAGTTGTGGGTGTGCTGGAAACATCGGAACAACAATTGGTTGCAGGACATCATCGCGGTAGGCTACAGCATTAACGCGACCCCTGCAAAAGTGTAGGGCGGTCCGATGATGAAATGTGAAGCCTCCCCACACCATTACACTTCCCCTACCCCATCGATTCGTTTCGAAGAAGCAGCAGTCTGCAAGACGTTCCCCAAGACGTCTCCACACACGTTGACGGCCATCAGCGTGATAAAGATGAAAGCGACTCGCATCACTGAAGAGCACACTTTGCCAGTCTACTCTTCTCCATGTCTGGTGTCCTTAAGCCCATATCAAACGCCGCTGACGGTGATGATCCCTGAGGATAGCTCCAACATAAGGTCGTCGTGCACGGAGTCCTACTTCTCTTAGACGACGTCTTACGGTGTTGGCACTTCCGACGACTGCTGCACCTGTTCGAGTCGCTGGGCGGAATCTGTCACGCAGATGAGTGACCCGGATGTTGCGGTCTTGAGTCTGGGTTGTAACGCGTTGTGGACCAGGACAATGACGGTCACGTGTTGATCCAGTAACTCGAACACGTTCCACCCACCTTACAATAGTGGACTGATGACAATTGAAGTGTCTGGCAATAGCACATGTAGACATGCCAGCCCTGGACATTCCCATGGCTTTATTCCGTTGATTTTCAGTAAGTCTCGGCATCTCTAGCTCGATTCCTTCACACGTCCAACAACAAATTACGACAGATTGACGTTTCACAGTTCATGTACTGCACATTAAGTTAAAAACATGCTTTTAAAGGGCTCACACACAATGCTGCACTATGAGGGAAACTTTGCCCGGGCAGTGGCACTGTGGCCTACTCTTATATCGAATGTCGGAAAATCCCAATTAACTCTCACGGCCAATGCAGGGATCGAACACGCGACCTCCAGGCTAGTGAGCCAGCGTCTTACCCACTTAGCAAACTAGTTTTGTACCTACCAATCGCATATATATTCGTCTTAATCATCCACTCAATTCATGTTAACCATTCAGTCCATTCATGGTAATCAACCAGTTAATTTTTGTTAATCATTTAGTTAATCCATATCATTCAGTTCATTCATATTAATCATTCATGTTAATAATTTAGTTTATTCATGTTAATCATTCAGTTCATTCAATTTTATACGCCCACACGTAGTTTGGGCGTATATGGTCGCCATTCCTTCCCATAGGTCCGGCTATAGTTTTTAACGGATTCTCTTCAAATTGGTTGTGAAGCATTGTTGTAATTAGTGAACGAATCCTATCGACATTCAGCTTCCTGCGACTTACAGTTTTCGAGTTAACCCCTTTTCTGAAAACCCTGTGAACACGATAGAGAATATTCTTTTCAATTTGGAGGACAACATTGAGATCATGAGGGGGACAAACTCTTGTCCAGAGTTACCCTAACCTTTGTCGAGAACACCGTGAGCACAATAGAGGCTTTAGTGTTCAACAGATTTTTTTTTCAAATTCGGAGCGAAGCAGTGTGGCCATTAGTGGATGAACCCTATCGATATTCAGTATTCTCCGGCTTTCAGTTTTAGAGTTAAACCCCATTTACCGAAATATCAAATTTGGTCAACATCCAAGTTTTCCTTTCGGATAAGCTGCTGTCGAGACATTGCTTTTGCGTGAGCGTATTTCCATGTTTCGCGTGGCTATCTTAACCATTCAATTCATTCATTTTCTGGTTAACTTTTGTTCTAACGAGAGTAGGCATGGATTAGAAAACAATAATTTGTGATAAGATCATGAAGTTTGCTACACATATAAGTCAAGCCGACCCAACTGTCTTCTCGTATATTAGTTTAATAAAACGTGTGTGATTTACAGATATGCAGATCATTCATGTCAACGATTTCTATTTTTAATTAACGGGACACGTTTTCTAGTCATTTCGATGTTCGTGACTTCCTACTTAAAACAGCAATGTTATAGCATAAAAAATAAGCAAGCGTTCTTTTTAAATTACATACCAAAAGATGTAACGTACAGGTTTGGTATCGGCCCCATCTGAGAACTTCTCAATATATTCTAAGGAATGATCCAGACATGTGTATTGAAATTTAAAATACACCACGAGACTTCATTCATTTGTTTAACTTCAGTTTTCATAATTGTATAGCGTGTCGAAATTTCAGTTCATTAATAAATGTTTTAATCTGCAATCTGTAATATTATTTCCCTTTATTACATGAAAAGGCAATTTTTCCCTTAATTTTTTCTCTAACCGTTTCCTCCATTTTTTGGTTGACCTTTTGGTCTAGAATTGGAAAAACAGTTTTAGGTAATACTGGTGATATTATAGGAGGGGTGTAAAGTTACGTTTGAAGCGACATTTTGACCCCGGTCAACATCAAATCCTAGTAAAAAACCTAAACTAACCCCCCCCCCCCAACCCAACTTACAAAATTATGATGAGGTGAGTGCCAAATGCGATCCCCCATGTGCCTACAACTATTGGAATCAACAGAATGTTGAGCAAAAAGCTACAGTCAGTGATGTTATAGCCATTTAACATTGCAGTCAATGGGTAAATAATTGTTATTCTGAGATGAGTGCGAGTTATAAATAGACAATTTTTCCCTTAATTTTTTTCTCCCCTCTTACTGCATTTTTGGGTTGACTTTTTGGTCTAGGATTGGAGAAAAGGGATCAAATGTGCAATTTCATAGCAGTTTTGGGGAATACTGCAGAGCAATCATTGTGTCGGAAGTGAAATTTTCACCCCATCAACATCAAATCCCCGTAGCAAAAAATCTAAACGGTCAACCCCCTTCAAAATTATGATGAGGATATTGCCAAATGTGGTTCCCATTGTGCCTATAAAGATTGGAACCAACGGAATGTTGAGCAAAAAGCTACAGTCTGTGATGTTACAGCCATTTAACATTGAAGTCATTGGGCAAATAATTACTAGTCTGAGTCCAGTTATCTCCCGTTTCTCCCATTTTGCATGGTCATTTTGATTGATTTTTTAAATCCAGAATCCAAGAGCGGGATTTGAATTAACATTTTCTGTCTTGGTAAAGAGGCAAAATGGACAGCAGAGTTAAGAGGGTGGTTACAATGATATGTACGGTGGATAGTTACACGTTTATGTATCTCAAAATTTCGGTGCTTAACCTCATACAAACTTCAAAGCAAAGGCATGGTCAGTTGTTGCTCTGTCTGTAGTGAAATGTGTTCAGCTCATCGAAGATTTGGGGGAAAGTTGGAGCCGGGCGAAGAGACGACGATTGATATTGAAGTCAACAGGGACATTTGTAAATTACATACGCTTGTTATAATCAAATAAGAATGAATTTCTAGAGCGCTTGCTTCCCAGTACAGTTAGACAGCTTAGCAAAAGCGCCATATTTTCCACAAATGCTACTTATTACCTTGGCTTTCCTTTTCTGACAAGCACAACGTCATTCAAATATTGTGGCGGCCACCTTGGATTTCTTTTATGTAAAAACCCCATACAGGAATATAGTTATATCATCTAGAAATGGCGGCACTTCCTCCAAATATATTATGCCAATAATCTTGGATCTCCATGTAAAAACCTATATACAAATATCTCAACTTAGGATTGGAATCTTGGCTTTTAACCCTACATTTTCAGAGTCAAAAGGAATAGAATGTAGGCATCTAGACACGGATCAGATTGTTTTGATTTACACCAAAAAGATTTTTTTTATATAAAATCCAAATCGGTATACCTATATCTCTGCTTCTGAACCAGTTATGGTCACAATCGTGGTGTCTAAACATAAGTTTTATGAAGGAATACAATTATACCTTCTAGAAAAGGATCTGATACCTTCTTGCCTTTGTTTTCATGTAATCAATATGCGATATGTATATTAGATTCGTTGTTGGTGAGTCGGGGACTTTGGATTCTGTATTCGTCGTTACGGAGTTGTATTATCATTTTTTATACGCCCACATTTTCATGTGGATGTATTATGCCGTCTTCCCTGTCCGTCCTTCCGTCAACAATTTGATGAAACTTGAAATGTATGTTTATATCCCAAAGATCTTGGTATATTCGCGCATATCGGATCGTAACTTCCTCAATTGTGGCCCCTGATTGTACGAAAAGGCGCGTTTTTACCTCGTGGTCCCTCTAGAGGTCACAATTATTATCCGATTAAAAAAACGTTCGAATATATCACCGTTACATCGTACTTTTGGTTGAGTTCAAATATCATGAAAATCTAACCAAAACTGCAGGACAAAATAGCCGCCCCAAGAACGCAAATAATGTAAACATCTAGTATATCACGGTTGTGGACTCTCTAGAGGTCACAATTTTGATCCGATTTTGATGATACCTTAAATACATGTTGATAACCCAAAGATCTTGGGTCCTTTTGATATTTGCACATATAGGATCGTAACTTCCTGAATTATGGCCCTTGATTGTACAAAAAATCACGTTTTTAGCTTGTGGTCCCTGTAGAGGTCACAATTTTTATCCGATTAAAAAAGAAGTGTGAACATATCACCGTTACACACTAAGATCTTGGTTCCGTTTGATAATCGCGGATATCCGAACGTAGCTTCCTGAAGTATGGTCCCTGATTGTTCGAAAAATCGCATTTTTAGCTTGCGGACTCTCTGGGGTCACAATTTTTTTCCGATTTTAAAAACCGTTTATATCACCATTCCACTATAATGAAGGTAGAATTTGAATTTCGGAAAAATCGAAATGAATCTGCTCGACAAAATGACCGCTCGTTGTATGCAAATTGTGTAAAAGTCACAATTTTTATCCGATTTTGATGAAACTTAAAACATATCTTTATATCTCAACGCTCTTAGTCCCGTTTGATATTTGCGCATTTCAGAACCATAACTTTCTGGATTATTGCCCCTGACTGCAAAAAATCGCATTTGTTTTTACCTTATTCTCTATCCATCTCTTGCAAAATTTGGGCGTATCCTGCCTAGCAGCAGCTGGTTGAATAAAACATTTTTATAAAGACGAAACATTATTTTATTGAACATGCAGTTTAAAGTGCGCCATATTGTTTTGTAAAAGAATGTTAATTATAATTGATTGTTTTTGGCTTTGAATATATGTTATTTTGGTTGTTAAAAAATGTATTCTGGAATATAAAGTGTTTGAATTGGATAGAACACAAATTAAAATTAAACTGCAATTTTAAATGCAATTTATTACAAAGAAATTGAGATGAAATTGGGATTTGCGTATGCTTATCTGCACCGACTGGGCTAATGCAGACGCTGACGTTTTGATGACTATTGTGGGTGAAATTTCTGTTTTCACGTTATCACGAAATAAAAGATATGACTGCAAAGTGTCAAGTATAACGAAACACGCCTATTTGGTCCGAGGTGTTCATAAAGGTTCGTTTATAAGTCACTTAAAAGGGAATCTGAGCATATTATTAATATTGAATTTTGTCTTAAATTCATCTTGCCTTTTCATTATTTCGTTTTTAATAATAAATAAATACTATGATACATTATCGCTAGATTAACTGCACAGATTGCATGCACATGTTAAAGTAACTGCGCAGATTGCATGAATTTGTTTATATATACCGGAATAATTAATTCGACATCGGTCGTGTACAAATGATTGCACCATTATCTGTTATTAAATACATTTCCAACCACCAGTTAATCAATCGCGATTTCCTATTTTAAAGGTTATCATTAACGATTATCAGTAATGTCTCCACATGTTACACACAGGATGACCATATATAAACCACCACATATAAACACTCAAAATACAATCTGGTGAAACACTTAACTGTCTAATTCACGTTCCTTAAACAGTTCGAAAATGTTTGTAGCTTCTGTTACTCTTTTCCTGGTGGCTTCGGGTATGTATGAAATTTATTTGTTGTACACGAAAATGACGTATCTATAGTTAAACACAAAACAATGGACACAACAGTATATTATGTTGGTCCCGAAGTGACATAGTTAGTGATGATCGTTATTAAATCATACGACAATATTTAGATCGTTATTCGAAAAATTCGAAAGCAGCTGAAGAACGTGTTTTAATCATGCTGGTCATGCAGACATTATTCATTGTTATTATGGTGGGCGGTCTAACACGTTGGCTCGCTCACCATTAGGTTACCGTGTTCAATCCCGGATTGGTCCAAATTTTCGGGTGTGGTTCAACCTCATTTTGAAAAATGGAAATTTATTTTCTGATTTATAATGAATGGTTTATATAATATGTATATGGGACACCAAATTGTTTAAAGTGCCTAGGGCCTTAGTCCAGCCCTGTATATAACGCACGCCCGTCTTCATTAGAAGAGTCGGCGCAGAACAGTACGACGTTATACCATATTTAGTCTGTTTCTTATGGTTTTCATTCCAGTATATGGAAGAATTATGCCAGGCGGTATTGAAGAGGCTGAAGTGACCCAAAACATCAGAAACGCTGCTGATTTTGCTACTAATGCCATCAATGCCGAGATAAAACAACAACAAACTGATTCAAACTGGCACACACTCGCCGAAATCAACAACCCAACCAAACAGGTAATATACGAATAATATACGGATAAATATACAACGATCATGACACTGGTTTATAGTCTTTGTTGTCCGGTTACTTACCATGTCTATAACTAGTCTGTGTTCCACTGAATCTCTAATAACTACACAGGTGAATATAATCGTTGTTATGTGCCGAATTACCCTTGATAAACGTCATTTGCAAATATACAACACATGGTCACTTCATATTACTAACCTAATAGAGTTATCCACCCATTGGTATCTAAGAGAATAATAAAAGCATTTTATCGGGATTTGGTCTGGCTGGGATTTTCCCTCCAGGTGGAAAATGACCACAAATCAAAAGGCATGTTAATCCCAGCAGAGGAATAAGACATTTGTGCTAGTTAATTATTATATATGCAACAGTATATAAGTATACATTTCAAGTAAGTTTATTTTAGCAATGACAAAATACGGCCATTTGCGTCAGTGTCAATGCCCATTGTAGTGGCCATCGTAGATTTGACGATGACCTCATATGAATTTAACATGTCGAATGGTTTTAATGGATTGGTTCAGCCGTAAAACCTTTAAGTTTACCCAGTGATTACGTTTCTAGTGTAAGGAAAGATTTGTAATATAAGAATCTTCAATGAAAAAAATGGAATTAAACAGTTAGAAGGTTTAATGAATCCATGTGATTTAAAGCGTCGACACATGGATCCAAAATTTTCACAGTCTACAACAGAATACAATACAGAACAGCTGTATTCATCCGCAAAAAAAAATAGTACCTAAAATTCATGTACATTATATAGGTTTAAACGTCAAATGAGGTCAAATGAATAGAGACGTATTTAATATATACTAAATATTCGTATCATCCCAAATCGACAATAAAACAGTGAGAAAAAGGAAAATCTAAGTAATGGCAATCTAATTAACATAAAATTTACGACATAATCGATTCTTCAATGTTTTGATGGTGATCATGACGAAAATACATCTGTTCTCAGGAATCCGATAAGATTTTCAAAAAAAAAGATCACTAGAATTATAGATTGTTATTCCACAAAGTCGAAAGGTATGTTAGATTTTTCATTCAGTCAAATTAGAGCGAGTTTATTGCCGTCGTTTGAGCTCCTGTGCCAGTATTTGTTCTTTATATCAAGTTCAGATGACAAGATTAGTTTCAGGTTCATACAATACTTTTTATTCTGTTATAAACATATTTACAATACTCGTACTACAAAACTTAAAGACTCCATAACTAGCTTGTATTGAGGGAGCCATGTCCTGGCTTGGCTAGGCACGTGTGCCAACTCCAAACTAACTTATATTACATGGCCCCAGCTCCAGTGTCCTGCTTGGACCTCTCTCGTATCCATTAGGTACCTTGATCTAGGCACCCGCCTAGCATGGCCTCCTGGACCCGCCTGAAGATTCGTTTCTGTTCTGAGTTTATAAACGTATTCGAGACAAAGGAGCTCATTAGACACCTGTCTAATGTATCAAGCATCATATGAAGGTTTAACATTCAATATAGTTTATCAGACAAAGAAAGTTAGATAAGACATGCCAACAACAAGTTATAGTTACGCAATGACATAAGGAATACTACCAAGATCTCCAGCCGGGTATTGATAGCGACAGGTTTATGTTACAATCACTAACACGTATTTTAATATGGCAGGACGCCTCTATGACATAAGTCATTATGTTATATACCTCTCTTTGTTTGAATAAAGTTATGAATTATATGAAATAACTTTTAAAGACTATTACAAAATTAGATACCTATGGAGGCGATAATTACTACTCTTATTAAGATATAAACAACAATAATAATAATGAAAAAATATATAAAAACAAACAACACTCGTAAAATGTCGTATACAAAAATGTCTATAAACAAAAAGAAAAGGTAAATGAAACACACACGAATTTAAAAGTTATATATACATGTAAAATGTCATAATATCCAAAAATGTCTTTAAACAAAATGAAAAGGTCAATGAAAAACACACGAACTTAAAAGTTATATACACACAATCGGTCACACACGCGAGTCAATGAAAAAAAAAAAACAAACGAGATCCTGGAATCACAAACACAGACTACTCTTATTATTCACATAAATGGTGGAATCGCGAACACAAACTACTCTAATTATCTTCTTAGACCGATTATTTGGTGGAATCGCGAACACAAACTACTGTAATTATCTTCTTAGACCGCTACTGCACTGTCGTAGCCAACTGTAGGGGTGGGGTACATATGATGCCCTTCCTCGTTCCAGTAATGTTGAGGGGTCAGAATATTCCCTGCTCCGTTTAGTTCAGCTCTTCTTATTGACCGGTAGTCTTTTCATTTTCCAAACCGTCTGGCAAAACGGCGTGTTATGACATGTGCATATGAAGAGTATTAACTGCCACCCGTGCCGAAGTTTTATCATCTGCTTATCATATATATCATGGAGTGAACTTAATTAATAGTTAATCAAATTAGCAAGTGGAACAGACTTTAATTAGCTATCTAACGATATTTACATTATTATTTACATGGATAGAATTGAAATTAGGATGTCATATTGTTTTGTTTTTTTCTGAACACATTTTACCAATCTTCAATAAGATATTTTGAAAGAACTTATCAACATTAATAACGGTTTATCTCTATAATTTTTGAAACACAACACAAAACAAGACAATACGTTCGCTCCTAATTCTGAGCACGACCCTCTCCTGGGGTTAAACCAATCCCACCTGACTGGGGTTTCACATAAACCTTTTCCCGTAACATATCGGGACCTCCCAATCTATATTGTTGGGGTATCACAAAATAAAAATAATAAAAAATCCCTCCCGTACATATCGGGTCATCCCATTAATATTTGGGGTACTACGTTAAACACGAATAAAATCTTTCCCGTAAATATCGGGCCATCCCATTAACACTTGGGGTAATATACACGTATAGACAAAACAAATAAAAATAATTATAAGAGATAAAACCGTTAATACCGTGTGATTAAAGAGCTATATCTCTCAATTAGGATACGCTTAACTCTATTCCAGATAATTAAACAATCATAAAACATTTCACTTCGCAGTTATTAGCCTGATAATACTTAGCTACTACTAAATTTAAAAGCCAAAATATGTGTTCAAAACAACCAATGATAATTCATAATCTTTTAAAAACAACATGACGCATTTTAAAACAAATAATATATATACAATTTTGTTTTAGTCATTTTCCTACAAATAGTTAAGGACTGTTCCACTACTAGCTTGAACGGCAATATATTAAATCTAGTAACTACACCATGATATTTAATAAAGCGTGATGATAAACTGCTGATTTCCCAGTTAAATTATAATACATTATAGCACAATATCATTATTAACCGGCCATGGTAGGATTAGAAAAAGACTTACCCGTGTAGACTAATATCTGTGGCCTGTGATCTTCTAGTGGTATACGACTTTGCACGTTGCTCTGGTCTACGGCGCCAATTAATATGTGCCAGTATTTGTTCTTTATATCAAGTTCAGATGACAAGATTAGTTTCAGGTTCATACAATACTTTTTATTCTGTTATAAACATATTTACAATACTCGTACTACAAAACTTAAAGACTCCATAACTAGCTTGTATTGAGGGAGCCATGTCCTGGCTTGGCTAGGCACGTGTGCCAACTCCAAACTAACTTATATTACATGGCCCCAGCTCCAGTGTCCTGCTTGGACCTCTCTCGTATCCATTAGGTACCTTGATCTAGGCACCCGCCTAGCATGGCCTCCTGGACCCGCCTGAAGATTCGTTTCTGTTCTGAGTTTATAAACGTATTCGAGACAAAGGAGCTCATTAGACACCTGTCTAATGTATCAAGCATCATATGAAGGTTTAACATTCAATATAGTTTATCAGACAAAGAAAGTTAGATAAGACATGCCAACAACAAGTTATAGTTACGCAATGACATAAGGAATACTACCAAGATCTCCAGCCGGGTATTGATAGCGACAGGTTTATGTTACAATCACTAACACGTATTTTAATATGGCAGGACGCCTCTATGACATAAGTCATTATGTTATACTCCAAACCCGATAGAAATGAAGGCGGAAGTGGCCATAATAGTTTTAGAGATCACTACGTGATGGCGCTCCTGCGTCGCGACAAACGGGGCCGATTTGTCTAGACATCAATAAAGCCCCCACCCTCTTTTGCAAGAATAACAGTCGTCATAGTCGCCATCGTACCGTACAATCAGCTACCGCTAATTATTGAAAGAGTCGGATAAAGCCTTCTTTGAGTAAATAACCGCAAAAATAAAACGGAAAGAAATGATGATGTGATTTAATTAGACAGCTGGATTGACCACTTTATGTGAATAAGCTGAAGATTTTTTTGTAAAAGATATGTGTTTGTTTAATTTATGTTTTTTGTATTATGAAATAAATAATTGTCTTTAATCAGGTTGTAAATGGTTTGATGTACGGAATGGAGATTGTTTTGAAGGAATCTGAATGTCGCAATCATGAAAGCAAAAACGGTGCCACCATCGTAGATTGTCCTCCACTTGATAATGGCGCTGTAAGTAAACTAGCTTTGCACCTATACCCATGGACACTGTGTGAGCTTCGGTTATAGCATGGAACCTATATCGCAGGCCATGGTTACAGATAAGTCACAGATTCACTGTAATGAAGTCAAACAGAAAAAATAGATGATACCCTTTCTTCTTTTCTGAAAGTCATTTCATGTGTCTATGTTGTATAGGAAGGTGCAGCCGATATCCGAGCAATATAAACTTTGCAAACGCATTTATTCAGGACCCGTATTAAATAATACATAGATAAATTGCCGTATACGCTAAAAAAAAAACCTTTTTTAGAAGGAAATCTATTTAGTGTTTTTTTAGTCTTAAAGGCTCAATACCACTCTTGTTGTAACTGAATAATATGTCCCAATCTTTATTCTGGTCAACAAATTGTACTATTGTAGACTATTTCAATTAATTGATGATACAAATTTAATCTTAACACACCTTATTTAAAATTTTTTAAAAATTCAACATAATGGTTTGAAACGTCTAACGTAAACCTTTTCAAATGAAACTTCGATTTATAAATATTTTCGAACCCTCTGGACAAGTAAAATAGGATGTAATGGATAATTTACACAACAGGTAGGACACTTAAACATCTAGTACTTAGATAGAGATATTATTTATATTCTGGAGCTGTCAAGCCAGCAAGAGTGTTATTGTCCCTTTAAGGTACATGTACTTCTGTAATTTAGGTATTTTCGGGCTAGTTTTAGTTTTAACTAGAGCAATAATGACACACAAAAAATTGAAAAGTGTTGATGAACATAACCGGGACCGAACACAGGACACACAGGTTACAGGTTAGCGAGCCAACATCTTACTCACTGAGCCACCATGTTCCCTCACTTGTAATCGTTAATTAAAGGATATTACCTAAAATGTACCCAACTGTTAGCCAAGTCAGAATCATAGGATCGTAACCCTTTTGTGGACCCATAATTTAATATATGTGGGTTACTGTTAAAATAGTGATACATTAAATAATCAGCTTTTCTTTAATTTATAGACCAAGAAATGCAATGTAATGGTTTGGCACCAACATAGAAGAGTTCCAGAATATACTCTCGAGAGAAAACGATGCATTAATATTTAAAACTGAAAGTCTCTGTATTCAGCTGGGGTTCATGGCGACCTGTCTCTTTATGATAATTGCCAAATTCGTTACATGAATATTTAAATATGCTAAAAAAGAGTATTGTTATTTCTTCTCTGCAATCTACTTGAGACTTTCACTTACTTACTGTTTGATAATGTTCCGACCAAATGTAACAAATAACCGCATGTATGAAAGGTGCTCTGCTTAATATATTGAAGTAGGTAAACAAATGGGCGACAACGAGAAATAGGCTAAGTAGATATTTGTCAAGATTCAACTTTTCTAGACTAAGTTACAGACAGTTATGTCACCATCAATTGCTGGAAGTAGGGTACTATCGCCCAGCCATCTCGTGCACAGATTAGTCCAATTAAATAGAATAATGTTGACGTAAAACGGTGCCCATACAAAACACTTACCCAAAAATGGTAATTGTCCCGCCCTAATAGCTGACAATCTATACTTTCTATGTAAGATAGAGGGAGGTTAAATTTCCTTTCAGACATCATTAAGTATTCTCGGAAAGACGTTCCCACAGCCTCCTCGGCTGAGGCTGGGAAACAGGCACCGTTAGAGACCCTAGGTCAGTCATTATTCAGAATTCCGAGGGGAACATCATACGCACAGCCTCCTCGGCTTAGAGGCTGGGATAGAGACAATATGTAGTGTTTCAGCCGTTAGATCTGAGTGCTAGGCTGGTTAAACTCAGATTGTAGATATTATGTACTAATGTACTATCATAGATGCAGTAGTTTTCTGTATTGTAACCTTTGTATTATTCGATATATAAACTTAGTTACAACATAAACAGTGTTCCAGAGTCAGCTAATTCACCATAAAAATAGTTATGCACAACGAGAAGGCCCCTGATTAGATAGTCACATCTGTTCCCGCAGTGTCACATGTTGTGCCTGATTGATATATGTCGAAATTAAAACAAAAAGTAAATAACCAAAGTAAGTGAAACATCTACGCAAATCTCAAATCTCCCCCACCCCCACGATCAGAGAACTATCCTCCAATATCCGAAGAATATTTAAACTACAATATATCAACTTAAGTGACTTTTTAAAGTGTTCCGAATGCAATTTAGTGCAAAACGAAATGAATTATAGGTCCTGTATAAATCCCTGTATTATGCGTTTATATCATGACTATTTATTGACTGAAACCGTTATTAAAATACAAATCTTAATTTTCTAATTAAAGATTATCATGAGCGAGTATATGTAATGTTTCCATATGTCCACATATGATGGCCATATATCGGGTGGCACAGCGAAAACAAGTACACTATTTAAAATGGAACAATTAGACATGCATTATGCAAGAGCAAAATCTGCTTATTACAAGTCTTTCTTTAGGCCTGAAATGTTATCTAAATTATCAATTAGACATTAATTAACTTATCCAGACCATAATAAACTCTCGATGTCAATGCTAGCCCTCGATGTTGGCTGGATTAGATTCCTATATGCCGCTAACGGCCGTTGATAATTAAATCAAAAAATGTGGATAATCGAGACTATGCTGTTTATATTAATGATTTTAGTAATGATGACCGAGACTACGCTTCGTTCTCGGCTCATAGTGGATCAATTTGACTGAAATTTTCAGCAAATTACCTTTACACTATCTAGTTTTTAACTATTATAGCGAGAACTGCCATCTCTTTATCTTATCTCCCATAATGTATCTTTAAAAAAAACGTATTATACCCATATCATTCATATTTCACATGACCAAAATTCTGAATATTAGACTGTTTGATTCTGCGTAATCGAGGATACAGTACCATGGATTGGATTTTTTGCTTGTATCGGGTTATTCAATACTTAACTAAAAAACGTCGATTTTATCATCTGTTTATTTACTTTTCGAAAGCATATAATGGATCTCACACAGTCATCTTTTATATGTTTTATTAAAAAATAATGCAACAGTTAGATATTTTAGCGTTATATCCTCAACAGAATTGCACGATAAGCCCGTTGCTTTTCATTTTGTTCCTAAGCGAGCTATTAGGACCCACTTTCTGGTTCAGGCCGATTCCACCCAAAACCATTATGCTTGGACCTCACTATGAGGCTCGTTCAATGACACATTGGTCAGAATAACGCTGGCCACGTCGACGCCATATTCTGGTTCTGCCATCTGCAGTTGTTACGCAATACCGACTCTCTGTGAACAGAACAGTTCTCCATTGCCTGTATCGCCAGTTCTGGCGTTGTTGAGCATACTGTAGACGTTCAGTTCGATGGCGAGGGGTGAGGATCGGTCCACGGTAAGGTATACGGCAATGGATGTTCTCTCTGGTGAGACGTCGGCGCACTGTATCGGTACTGATGGGGTCTTCCGTGTGTTCCAACTGTCTGACGTGTTGTCTCAGATGCCTGTGTGAATGGATTCTGCACGTGGTGTCGCACAACATGGCGGTGTTGTGGAAACCCTTGGTCTACCAGTTCGGGGACGATCATCCGTGGTGTTGGTGGCCCGAAAGCGTTGCTGAAGCCTGTAGATGGCCCGAACATTGATCTGAAAGTGATTGGAAACGGCTTGGGCTTCCAAGCGCCTGTTTCCTTTGAGTCGTGGCATGCTGCTGACATTGTAGTGTGAATGATTCAACCAGATATGGGGGTGCATTTTATAGGGCTGGTCCCGGTGAACAGCACGTGCAGCATGAGTTACATGAAAATCATGGAGAACGCATTACCATCTCAGAAGTCAGGTTGCGTTTTTGAGAACATTTCCTGGATTCAATTCTGTGTTTGATAAGGTGCCTTATTGCTCTGGTAAAGTTGGAGGTATGGTCACAAATACATGACATGTATACAATATACTGGAACACTGGATAACCGGATTACTCGAGCAGTAGATGTTAACATGTGTATAAATTAAACATGTGCATAAATTAAGAACACCAGGATATACTCTAGAAAGCACCATTTACAGACATCAGGAACCAAGATCTTTGGGTTATACACATGCATTTCAAGTTTCATCAAAATCAGATGAAAATTGTACGTTATTTTTCGTACAATCAGGGGTCATAATTCAGGAAGTTATCGTCCGATATCTGCCAATATCGAAAGAAGCCGAGATCTTTGGGAGATAGACCTATATTTTCAGTTTCCTCAAAGTAGGATACAAATTGTGTCCTGTAGAGTGTCCACAAAGATATTGTGTCCGTCCCAGACGGAAAGGGGCGACGACAATATACGTCCACATGAAAATGTCGGCGTATAAATAACAGTGATATTTTGGCAAAATCCTTACCAATGTCATACTATCCATAAAATACTATTCTGTTTATGACATGTGTTTGGTAGAGTAAATAAGGTAATGTTCTCGCCCCGGTCTTTGGAGAATGAGGATGTTTATTCCATATTTGGGAAGGAAATTAACGTCAAGGTCAGTCTATGACGTACAGAAATTAGGGGGTTATAAAAGAGGGTATTGAGCGAAATTCAGAGTTCACCCAGATATCCCGAGCAGCTATCATCTATGTTTTATTGAGAACGAGGAACATCGAAGCCAACCAGTTTTATAATAAAGCTGTCGACACGAACTAACCTTTAATTTTTTTTACGACCACAAAGGAAACATAACAAGGAAGTCCGATATTACTACAATTGTGATGTGTATAAAATCTCATTTAAAAAAATAAAAATGTTTCTTATGGTTTAGATTGTTTATATTTGGAATTACATATAGGCCTATATGGGAGCACCAAAATTTGTTACGTGTTTATGGCCTCTGTTAGTCTTTACTCGGCGCTGCCTGTCGCACTTTCCTCTCGATCTAAAAAAATCTTATTAGAATATTAAACGGAAACTTAGGTGTGGCTGTAAAATACTTGATCAATATACCGATTGTTAATTTATTTGATAATTTTAGGCTTACCATGTAATACGGAAATGTGTATCACTTTTTAACGATATATCATTCTAGGCAAACTAACAGTAAATTGTTTATTGGATAAAACGGAAACAATTTCGTTTGTAGCTGTACAATAATATACCATATCTTTCTAGGCGAATTAACAATAAATTGTTCACTGGACAAAAAACGGAAACATTTTCAATTATAGCTGTAAAATAATATACCATATCTTTCTGCGCGAACTAACAATAAATTGTTTATTGGACAAAACGGAAACATTTTCGTTTGTAGCTGTAAAATAATATACGATTTAGCAGTTTATATGGCGTATTTTTACTGATTTAATGTGGGAATTTGTGCAACATGTTTTAACATCCCATCTTTCCCCTCCTTTTTTAGGGATGGGCTGAAAAGGGGTATGGTAGTTTCAGGGGTCCCTTAATTAGTTATTGCGTAGCTTGGAGTCCCTTTCTAATCATGAATTTCTGTGTTTTTGGGGGGAATTTCTAAGATTGCAGCACGTTAAATATGTGCATAATCTACAAACACATGTAGTCTTTTTATACAATCTCCAGGTTCAACTATAGTTCTGGCGGACTATTGGATATACTCTAGGTTCAGGAATTTATGGAGTCTACAATGGCCACTTCATATAAATGAGTATTTATATAGCAGCGAAATTATGATTTTTTGACCGATGCCCCTTGGGGTCCCCCTACCTAATATTACCAAATTCATCGAAAAAAGACCACTATGTTTCACGAGTTTTGGGAAAATGGTCTTCATTAATTTGTCTCCAAATCGCCGGGCCCAAGTTATTTGCCTCTGTTGCCATCGCCATGATCCGTCACTGTTCCTCTTCTGGAAAATTTTGAGAAATGGACGATTGCAAACGAGTTTTCTAGCACAGAAAATCGCTCTCTAGCAAACTCTGAACATGGACATAGTGGTACGACAGCGACCCAACGACAGTATAATATAAATGACGTGTTGGGTGAGATTGTTTATTGAAACGAAACACTCAGATGAGCACAACAAACCCTAATACAACAACTATTATCGTAAGGCAGTTAACCAAATATGGTCAATCTACTAGTAGTGACGGTCTTAGCAGTGTGTATGGTCCAGATGGTTTCGCCAACCTTCAATTGCTTCATAGAGATAAGATTGTCCGACGTACCCCATCTGACGAGTCAAAAGCAGACAAAAAAGAA